GGATCTCGACGGAGGAGTCCGCGCCGTGTACGTTCGCTTGCCCGGTTGGCGGCGCAATGAGAGCTCCGGAAACTGAAACTGAAAGCAGAAGCAGTAGCAGAAGCAGTAGCAGAGGCTGAAGCCGAGTCCGAGTCCGTCTGCTTTTCATTCATGAGTGTCGTTCGGTTCGGGTGAGCTTTTCCCGCAAAAGCTCTACGCGCACGGAAGCTGGCCAACCTGTTGAGCCTCCCAGGAGTCGCAGGAGTCCGCAGGATGCCAGCATCCCGGCATCCTGGCCAGAGTTACCAGAGTCGGCTGTTGCCAGGCCCGCAGGGATAACATAAATTAATTAAATCTATGTACCAATGCTCGTTTCGGTTGATCATCTGACACATTGACAAATTGATGGTGCCGCGGAGTGGGTTTTTTGGGGGCTTAGGAGTCAGGATTCAGGAGTCGGGGTCATGGGTTCGGACTGCGATTTCGGGTTCGGCCCCGGGGCCAACTTGGTTCATTTGCTGAAGTTGATTAATGCATGTATCGCTCGCTTTTTGTTCTGCCTAGATTTAAAGTTGTCTGCCACATATGTGGTCCCCGATGGAGAGGATTCCAGACGGGGAACTTTCTTTGTTGACAAAAAGGTGCACTGACATCTGACCAAATCGAACACAACTAATTCGGCACGATTATTCACATGCCACAGAGATTAGATTAAACTTGGCCAGAACATTATATGGTCGAGCTACCCCATTGGTTTGCTCCCTTCAATTCTGCTGAAATGGGGATAAAGTTTTCCTCGAACATCTGTGCATGTCTACGTTTATTGCTTTCAGTTTTATTACACTCAGAAAACTCTGTTCACTTGGAAACCAAAAATTATCTATGACTTAAAAGTTAGAAAATAAATGTTTGTACCATTTAACGTGATTGCATTAACACTCTGGGTAACAAATTAAAGTGATTCTTTCAGAGCTTAACAACAGCGTGGTTTTTAACAAGTTCCTTACTCATTCAACAAACTCATTCAATATTGAATTACAATTTATGTGGCTTTTTTTAGGGACTTAATACATACATAGATACATTTTTTATAATTAGTAACTATTATTATTCTACAAAATTTGGATGGATAAACATTTTTATGATAAACATGCAAATTTCAAACCAAGAGATTTCTTTGTCAGAAATATTACATTTTTATTAATACATTTTTATTTGGGTTGTAAGTTAACAATGACTAGACATAAAAATATAAAATGTCATGGTCATAAACTCACTTTACAAAAAAGGATTCTCTGACTGTAGGCTGGAGGGTGTGGAAGGAGCAAATAGTAAGGACAGTTCATTGTTTGAGCCCAAAGTTCAATAGTTCGAGCCACAAGTTCACTCACCAAACAAGATGGCAAAGGCCAACAAGTGGTATCGGGATTCCGAGGCTGTCAGGATGGAGATGTTGGCAATCGAAATCCGGCGACACTGACAGCTGCATACATTTTAATCCCTTGATTCCACCGAAAAGTACTCCATGTTCGGTTTGTGTTCAGGGATCTGTGCTACAATGACTTTCGCATTCACAATTTCCAGTAATTTGTTATTCAAACACATTGCGAATCGATTATCCGCTTGGCATGCTCCCTCCAATCGAGCAAATATGCTGATTGACTTTTGTCAAGGCTTATGTGTGTGGCCCCCTTTGTCGCATCCCCAATCAATCCCCATTCGATCCCATTTCCATTCAGCCTTTGTGTTTGGACGGGCGAAATGCCAAAGCAAATACAAATGAGGAAACGCGGGAGGATATGGGCCCTCGTTGGCTTTCACTTTTAGCTCAGTCGGGGCTGCCCCGTCTCTGGATAAAACCTCCCATTTTACACATATTTATACGGACTATATGGGCGGAATGCCTGACTGCTTCTATATGGGTGTGTTTTCCCTTCGATAAGGCTGATTTGGTGGTGTGAGAAGAGGAGGAGGAGACAATGGTAGCCGGGAGCAGAGTTCCCATAAAGTTAGTTGTGAAATGTCTGTCAAGGACTCCGGTTTAACCTTCGCCGGAGGTCTCCTCGCTTTAAATATTTGCCAAACGCTGGAAATTTATCTTGGCCAAATGGCCGAAGGCTGAAGACAGGAAGTGGGCCACAATTCTCTTTTTCTCCCCCGTCTCAATGTCACTTGTTGAATGGAATTGATTGCCACGCAATAAAATGTAATTGCAATGGCTCAGCTTGAATTCAATGTTAAGGTGCAAGGACATTAATTAACCGCAAGCAGCAGCTGCAGTCCAGGAGTCCGGGTATCCTGAAGTGGCTCTGATTGCTCGGCATGCCACTAAGCGGCCCGCATATTAATTAGAGCACCAAATGGAACGGAATGAAGTGAGCTGGCAGCAATGCAAATATGCAAATTTTACATGTGGGATGCTTTATCGCACAGCGACTGCTGTATTGAAATAAACTGCTGACCCAGGAGTGACAGGAATTCCATAAATACTCGAATATGTGGGAATATGAAAAATGAAAGGCGAAAGAGACAAAGGTTAAAGTTAAGCTTGACAAATGTGCGCACTCGATTCGTTCGAGAAAAATCCTTGGATAAGAACGCTTGATTGGATGTCTGGATAATTGCACTACAATTAGGGCGATATAATTTATTGAACGAATTCGCTAAGAGTGTTCCGTGTTAATCAATAGTTAAAATGGGCTAGGACTGGGTCCTGCTCCTAATTGACCTGAGCTGCTGCTGCAGCTGCTCGCAGAGCTGGCACTCGCGGGTGAGCTGCTTGACAGCCAGAGCGTACTGGCGCTGTAGTTCCAGCAGCGACTGCAGTTCCTCGTTCAGCTCGTCGCGCCGCATCCGTTCCTCGTTGTACTTGTGACGCACCTTGTCCTGGGCGCTCTTCACCCCGTCCACAATGGACTCGAACTGGCGGATGAAGTCCTCGCGGCCGTGTGGACTCATCATGCCCTCGTTGTAGGCCTCACAGATGGAATTGAGAAGGGCCAACTCCTTCTCCAGGTAGCGCTTCTTGTCGTTAAGTGTGTTGTACAGGGTGTAATATTGCTTGGTTTCCAGGTGCTTGCCGCTCATTTCGTTGTGCAGTTCGTGGAAGCGACGCTGGTATTGGGCCAGCTCTGTGCGGTCGGGTATTGCATCCAGCTTCCGTTCAATGGCTACTATTCCGCGATTCCGTTTGGCCAGCTGCAGGCGCAGCTCCTTCAGGTGTTGCTCTTCGCTCGCTAAGGCTGCAGCTTTTGCCTCTGCGTCCTGGGCACTAAAGGCTTCGAGGTCACTGGGAAAATAAATGGTATAATGATTAATTGGTAATTAAAAGTTTAAGGATTTGATTTCTTTTCAATTAATTACTTTAATAAAAGATTCATACTTACTCAATTTGCTGTTGGAGGTTGGCCAAATCGGTGCGACAAGATTCCTTAAATTCCGCCTCGCTTTTCTTCAGCACTTCATGTTGCTGCAGTAAGTTTTGAACCTTTTCAAGGAGCCTTAAAAAAGTAATAAGAAGTAAAATTAAATAATACAAAGCATTCAATTTTTTAACTCACTTTGGATCTGCATTATCTTGTGTTTCCTTGTGTGCTTTCAGCTCAGTGTTTAGGGTATTCAATTGGTCCTCCACTTCCTTGGTCTTTTGGGTTTGCTCCCTTTCTGCTTCCTCCAGCTGTTCGTTGTCTTTGCAGTAGCGTCTAATCTTGTGTTCCAAGGCAATTTTGGCCGCTTCAAGACGTTTCTGTTGATTTTGTGCCTTCAGTTCTTGAGCATCCGTTTCCATTTCCAGCTTAAATTCAGCGTAGTGTTGTTGCAGCTCTTGTCGCGCTGAAGGATCGAGATCAATACGTTTATGAGTGCCCGTTAAGTCATCTTTTGCGAGGGATAAACTGCGCAGATACTCCTCCAAATCGAGCTGATGATAAAAGAGAAAGTTTAATAAACAAAATGTTAAAAAAAAAATACCAAAACCCACCTCCGCTGATTCTCCAGGTCCCTGTTCTGCCTTTCTCTCTGCGCTGCTCTTGAACATCGGACCTGGATCTCCGTATTCTAAGAGAGTAAGACGCACTCGGGACACATCGTCATCTCCAGGAGCTTCCTGACGTTCATACAGCCTCTTGGGGCCGTAGAGGTCCTGAATGACCTTAATGTTAGTGGAGGCCAGGCGTATTTTAGTGAGATTGTCCTTATCGCTTTTGTACTGATACTGATTGTGGAATTGGCCTATGGCGAATCTTTTCAAGCGCTGGCCACGCTCAGCTCGATTTTCCACCTATGCAATGAATTCTTATTAATTAATATATATTTAAAGCTTTGTGGGTGACTTACAGAGGTCTTCACCAGCCACTGGATGACAGGATGGATGGCCAGGAACTCCAGCCCCTGCACTTGATGGGGTTCCAGGCTATGCGGACACTTCATGTCAATCAGAACAGAGACTATCTTCTCAACCAGTGCTCTGAAAGTGAAAGTTAAGTGGTTTTCTTGAAACTCTTTTTTTTGTAATATCTCACATCTTCTGTCCTATGGAGAGACTTTCGTGGAAGAGCAGGTCCACGTCGACATCGTAGTCACAGCACTCGATGCACCAGGTCATTCCGCCCACCACTTTATCGAAGGCGGATAAGCCCTTAATGCGGGCCCGGTAATACCCCGCTGCCACAAGGATGTCGAAGGTGTCCTGCTCCTTGGCCGTGGCGTCCGAGTCCTCACGACGCTCCACCTTTAATGGAAATTGAATTAGATTAAGGATTCCCAGCAGGGTGAGCCTGACTCACTTGCACTTCACGCCCATCCTCGTCGAAGCGGGTGCCCAACTTGACATTTGGCAGGATCTTGGAGAATACATCGCGGTTAGCCATGAACAGCCAGAATTACATGCTATTAGAGGCCCGGAAGCTATTGCTTATCATATAAATTTGGGAAAACACAAAAATTGGCGAACGACACAAAAATTGTCAACAACATTGGCTGAAATGCAGTATTCTCCGCCACTAGCGCTGCGGTCACACCATTTTGTCCATTTGAATTTTGGTCAAATTCGGTCACATTCTCACCGGTCACCGCATTTTTTGGCCTTTTTGAAGAGCCGTGCAGATTTAAGATGAGTAACTACGTCTGCCTGCACCAGGAGGGCGTCAGCAGCATTCCCAAGCTGATCGAGAAGGCCTACGCGAACAACTACAATGTGGTCGCCACCTCCATCAACGCCAACATGGTGCCATTCGAACCGGACGAGTCGGATCCCACATATCCGGCCACTATTCTCAGCGCCGTGGACTGGAATTCCAAGGTGATATTCACCCTGTCCGACGTGGATGTGGACTCACCGAACGCCAAGCTGCGCCAGCATGCCAAGGAGGTGCTCCTGCGGGACGTGGCCTGGGCCGAGCACCTGCAGAACGTGGGCAGCGTGATGGTGCGACTGCGCGGTCCGGAAAACGAGAATCTGGCGGCCATTGTGCAGACCAAAACGAAGGGTAAGGGTCTGGACGTTGGAGCGCAGACTGTAGCAACTTATTTAAGATATATTTCCCCTAGGCAACTGGTTCATACAGGTGCCCATCACTAATCCCGAGCTGGCCACCTTCGAGCACCGCAAAGATGCCTCAGCCGAGGATGTGGCTCTCGCGGAACAGAATGACCCATGGAACTGGTGGAACAAGCTACGATTCGCAGTCAAACAAAGCACCAAAGTCAAGGTTGTAATAGAGTTGAACGATTCGGATCGACCGAGCAAGGAAACAGTGCGTCGCTGGTTGGGCGAGCCCATCGAGGCCATCATCATTCCATCCTCCCTATTCGTGAGAAATCGCTCCAACTACTGCGTGCTGAAGAAGGAGTGGCAGGTCATCATCGGGCACTTCATCTCTGTGAGAGCCAACATCATCATCTCCACGAATCCCACCGATAAGGCTCTGTCCCAGTATGCAGATTATCTGAAGAAGTTAATTAGTGAGAACTGCGATACACACGAGCTTAACAGGTGGGTGTTAGCTATCAGATTCTTATTGACTCAATGTCATAATTTTCTTTCTGTTTAGCTATGAAAACATGCTGGAGATCCCACTGCAGCCACTCTGCGAGAATCTAGACAGCTATACATATGAAGTATTTGAAACTGATCCTGTCAAATACAAACTTTATCAGGACGCAGTACAGGCGGCTTTGTTAGATCGAGTGAGCGATGAAGAGGCCAAAACCAAGTTGGTAAGGAAATCCTTTTTTTTAAATGTGTGCCAAATTAAATTTCAAAATATTCCCTTTTAGACAGTGGTGATGTTGCTGGGTGGAGGACGCGGTCCTCTTGCGCGGGCTGTGTTCAATGCAGCTGAATTGACAAAGCGCCAAGTGCGGCTATACATCATAGAGAAGAATTCCAATGCCATCCGGACGCTCTCCAATATGGTTAAAACGCTTTGGGCCAACAAAGGTAAGAAATCCAAATAAACTTATTTGAAATAAAATCTTAATTCCATTTAATCCTTTAGATGTGCACATTTTTTCCAAGGACATGCGCGACTTTTCGCCTCCCGAGCTGGCTGACATTATGGTATCCGAATTACTTGGTTCCTTTGGCGATAACGAACTTTCGCCAGAATGCCTTGATGGAGCTTTGAAGCTGCTCAAGCCGGATGGTATAAGCATTCCTTACAAGTCCACGTCGTACATTAATCCCCTGATGTCTGCGGTGCTGCACCAAAATGTCAGTCAATTAGTATCCACTGTGCCTGCCTTTGACTACGGCTATGTGTCGCTACTGAAGAATATTTACCACATTGATGAGCCACAGGCTTTGTTTGAATTCACGCATCCCAATCGGGCGGAGAAGATAGACAATACTCGATGTAAGGTGCTCACGTTTACTATCAAAAAGGATTGTGTGCTTCACGGAATCGGGGGATACTTTGATACTCATTTGTACAAGGACATCTGTCTGAGCATCAACCCGCTGACGCACACGGCGGGAATGTTTTCCTGGTTCCCCATGTTTTTCCCCACGGTGAGTAAAGCTAAGATTCTTTAAAGGTGATCATCTAATATTAGTTATTTAACCTTTTAGCGACCAAGGACTCTTAAGGAAGGACAGAACATAAACATCAAGTTCTGGCGCTGCGTAGATGCAAACAAAGTGTGGTACGAGTGGCAGGTAATCACCGACTCCAAGGAATGGGAGCACCACAATATTTGTGGCACTGGCTACAACATGCGACTGTAGCAGTAGGCGATGCCATACCTCGTAGCCAAATGATCCTCAATACTTTTTTTGAACTGGAAATAGAATCAAACCCAAGCGACCTTAATTTGTCTGCGACTTTTATTTAGGTTTATGTTTGAAAAGTTTATAAATACTCTTAACGTACATAGATGTCCTTACATATCTGTGGGTTTTATTATTTTCGGTTTGTAAAATTTAGTTAATTTCCGGTTTCCTCTCATTCATTTAATTAAATTATATGTATGTATATTTAAAGCGCTGCACATGATCGCGACACGACATCTCTCTAAGCGAAGGCAATTATCAGTTATGTTAAGTATGTATAACGTAATCGATTTAGTTTAGTTTAAAGCGGAGCTGAACTGGGCGGCGACGGGTGGTGATCGGATCTACGAATTTACAGCATTAGCCTGGGCCAGCGGCGCTGTTCCGCCAACGGCGCCACCTCCACGGATGGCGATCGCCCCCTGGCCAGCGCGGATTGGCTTGGCGATCTGTGCCTGTGGACCGCGCCTGCCCAGGTGCTTCTGCCGCACCGCCTCCTTGATGCGGTCCACCTCGTACTGGTAGCGCTTCCGGTCCCTCATTGCGCCCTCCTTCGCCTCCTTTAGGGCCGTCTCCAGAGCCTTCACCCGCTCCATGGTCGTGCGCAGGCGCTTCTCCAGCTTGGGCAGCTCGCATCGCAGATCGGCGTTGTCCCGCACCAACTGCTTGTGCACCTTGGTCAGCTGGTCGAGGTTGTTCTCCAGGAAGGAAATCTTCTGCTTCTGCGCGAGGGATCCGCCATCCTCCTCGCTCTCCTCGTTTACCACGTTCTTTCGGATTCGTTGCTGTTAGCAGAAAAAAGGAAATTAATAAGTTTAGAGCAAGATAAAACGAGGTAATTATAGTACTTAAAATTTATAATGACGGTTTAAAAAAAATTAAGTAACAGATAGATGAATGAATTAAATTTACCTGCAAATCCTGAACAAAGAGCTTTCGGAGATTGTGCAGAGTCTGCAACTCCTTGGCCACTGTATCCTCGAGGCCCTTGAGGTCCTTGCGGGCCTGTTCGCGGCGCTCGTTGGTGAGGATGATGTTCTGCAGCTCGTTGGATTTCTCGGCCTCCTCCTGGCGCACCTTCTCGTAGTCGACCGACATCTGTTGGTGTGCCAACAGCAGTTTCTGGTGGACATCCTTCATCTCGTCCATTTCGTGCTGCTTGGCGGCGATTTCGTCTCGCAACTCGGAAACCTGGCGGGTGTGAGCCTCGCGCAGCTCGTCCATCTGGGAGTCAAACATGGAGCGCAGCTCCTCCGCCCGCTGTTTCTCCTCGGCGTTTACGGCAGACACGTGCTCGGCGGCCTTGAGTTTGGCGCACTCCTCGCGTAGCGAATCAATTTGCTCCTCGAGGGTACGTTTCTTGTTCTCCGCCTCGCGCATCGACTCCTGAAGCGACTTCATACGCGCCTCGTGCTGCGAGATGAGCAGCCGGTACTCGCCTAAGTCCTTCTCGTACTCGGAGATCTTTTTGTTGGAGTCCGACTGCTGCGATTCCATGTTAGCGCAACGTTGGGCAATGTTTTTGGCCTCCGTCTTCATCTTGCTGATGTACAGACGGGCCATGGTGAAGTCCTCCTCCACCTTGCTGGCATCCGTGCCAGCCAGAGCACTCATCTTGAGGTCGATGCCGGAATCGCCGGGGGCGATGGCTTGGCCCACTTCCCCAAGGTCGCGCAGCAGGTTGGTCAGCATTTCGGTGATGCGCTTCTTTTGGTGCGAGGACATGTCCTTAAGCTGCTGCAGCTCCGTGGAGGCAGCACTGAACACAGACTGCTTCTGTTGCAACTCCTCGTTGAGGGCGTCGATGTCCTTGTTCTTATTGTCGATCTCCTGCGACTTCTGGTCATAGTTCACAGCAAGCTCCTCGAGAGCTTGGAGCACCTCCTTGACCTCTTCCTTGGCGGACTCGTTCTCCTGCTGGATGCGGGCCATTTCCGACTGCAGGGTCTCGTACTCCCTCCGAGCGTTGGCGATTAGCTCCTCCTGCTCCATCACCTGTTCCTTGAGCTGTTCAGCGTACTGGCTCTGCTGGTTGATCTCCTCGTCCTTGTCGTCCAGTTGCTGATAAAGCCTCTCGCACTCTGTAGCCAACCTGGCCTGCTCATTCGCGGCCACCGAAGCAGACATGTTGGCAAGGGCAGTCCGTTGGGCGACCAACGCCGCCTCCGCCGCAGCCGCCTGCGCCGCCTCTACTTCCAGATTGGGCGTGCTTGCCTCCATGAGATCCTCCATGTTGATTTGCTCCTCCGCCTTGACGGTCTCACCCGCTCTCCAGCGCGCCAGCTCGATCTCCAGCTTCTCCACCTTGCCCTTGAGCCGGGCATTCTTCTCCTTCTCCTTTTCGTAGCGCCGCTTCCACTCCTCGGCAGTGAGCTCCTCGTTCACGCAGACCACGTTCTTCACGGTCTTGGCTCGTCGGCCGAAGTCCAGCGTAGACTTGGTCTCCGATTCGTTGAAGCTGGCCGGGGAGCAGCAGATGACAATGGTTGTGCGTGCGTTGCCTCCCAGCGACTCTTGCAAGATGCGCGTGAGCTTGGAGTCGCGGTAGGGGATGTGCGTTTTGTTGCCGTCCGCCAGGGCGGAGATTACGTTGCCCAAGGCCGACAGCGACTTGTTGATGTTCTTGGCTTCATCGAGGACCGTGCCCTCGGCTCCTGTCTTGGAAACCTTCTCTGAACCGGCCAAATCGACCAGGTAGAGCTTGCCGGAGAGTTTCTTCTGGTTCTCCAGATTCTCCTGCTTCACGTTGATGAGAAATACTGAATGCGATCGCGAAGAGTGCTCGTTCATGTCTGAAAAGGATGGATCAATCGATGTAGTAGGTGATTAAGAACAGAAAAACAAAGCAGTTGGGATCAGAGCAAAGACTTTGACTTCAAGGTGAAATCTTCATTTAAATAAAAGAACTAATCCTGACAATTACGTTGGTGATCAGGGAATCTGATATCAAAATAAAAAATTTTAGTCAATATGCAACAATATTTAAAAGTACTTCTAAGCAAAATTAGTTTGTTAACAGCTAATTGAAAACAATTGACTAATTCGTCGTTTGCCTCATCATGTTCAAATATATTATTATAATTTTAACACTATTATTATAAATTTAACACTAAAATGGTAGTCTCAATTATTTTATTAATAATGTTATACAATTTGTTAAATTTAGTTTTAAACATGTCGAAACTTCCATCTATCAAATTTGGATTCTTGGCCGCCATAGCTCTGAACTCAGCTGCTGCTGGATACTCACTTGTCACCGCAATGTGGCGATTAGATTTTCCCTCCTCGATCACCTCGAAGACGTCCTCCGGCGAGGAGACGAACCGCTCCGTGGCGCCCTTAACGTAAGGCACACGGTTCTTGTCCTCGTGCACGCTGAGGTTCACCTTGGAGACGTCCAGCAGATCCCTGATCTTATCCATGTAGATCTCGTAGTAGGAGACCTTGATGTGGAACTCCAGGTTCACCTCCATGGCGTAGATGTGGTTGAAAATGTCGTTGACGATACGCGGTATGATACCCTGCTTCACTGAGTCCCCGATCACGCCCTCCATCGTGTGCGTCTTTCCGGAGGATGTCTGGCCGTAGGCGAATATCGTTCCATTGTATCCGGCCAGGACATCCGTGACGATGGACTTGGCCGCCTCATTGTAAACCTTCTCCTGCGAGGCATTCGGCTTGAAGACCTTGTCGAACAGATAGACCTTGCCCTGCGGATGGAGGGGATTATGTTTTTTAGTATAGTATACATACATATATAGTTGTACTAACAGTTGCGGTGAAATTTCTTTCGGAGATTCATTCCCCTTTCCCCGACTTTTTCCCGCTGACTGCTTTCAAATCATTTTCAACGCATGGCCGCGAAGCAGATTGTAATTATGAGCATTAAGAAATGGTGAGTGGAGGGGGGAAGAATAGTGAATAACAAGCGGCGGAAGAAAGACAGAGCGAAAGAAAGAGAGAGGGAGAGATGGAGAGTAATGGAGGGAGGTTCATACATATATTAATGATGACTTTTTGGAACTGGTTCAATTGCCCAACTTTTTACCAGGAAAATGACGGATTACACCTGGTCAGCACTTGGCGGAAAAACGGAAAACTCATAGCATACAAACTAATAACATTTCATGTCGAATAAAAGCAATACAAGCGAATTCCATTGCCTCCAAAGTTGCTCTTATTGTTATTTTTTTCTTCTTTTTATTTTACGGTTTGCGTGCATGACTCACTGGCGGCGGCAAGGGGGCGGGAAGAGTAGTGGAAAGGCGGTCTCGCTGTATATTTAAGTGTTAGTGTGTGGAAATGTAAGTGAGGTAAGCACTGAAGGCGGACTGGAAACTCTAGAAAAGCGCATATTTATGCGGCCCAAAAGAATGGAACACCCGCTTTTAGCAGAAAACCTTCTAGTGGGTGGTCTTCCCTCTCCCTTTCTCTTGTTGTTTTTCGCTTACACACCCTATTCCTCGCGGGGGAAAATCAATTTAATGCAAAGCGATATTGATTGGGAGTAGTTTCTTATGATGAAACATGCTGTTTTTTGGATTTATTATAGATTGCTTTGTGCAATTATTCATGGGTAACTTTAGTGCCTCTCTCTTTCGGCTTGCGTTTCAATTGGTCGGCAATTTGGGAAGGGTAAATGTACGCTAATAGGCATGACGTCATGGCACGGCACGCAGAGATTAATGCATAACACATAGGGAAATCGGGGAATCTAGGGAACTCTCGGGATGGAAACTTATAAGATAGGTCTGGAACTAGACAACATACCGCTATGGATATGCAGTTCTCCTCCACATTGTTGGGGAACTTGACCACGAACTTGGAGCCGGCCTTCTCTTCGCTGTCGTTCAGCGGTCGGAATCGGCATACCACCTTGATGCTGTCCTCGGCGGGAATCTCGCGTTCCGCGGACATTTTGTTGGCTCTTTCTGGCGGAGATTAGCACTGGAGCTCTGGGCGCGACCTCTGCGCATGCAGCTGTTTACGTGGATGATCCGCGAATCACTACGGCACTATCTGCTACTGGCACTGCCACTGCCCGCGGGGTTTACTGATTCCGTTTGCCCGTCTTTATCCGCTTCCGTTTCTTCGCTGCTTTTCCGACTCCGTCGCACTCGCGAAAATTGGGTTGGGGGCGGCTCGAATAGATGCAGTGAAAATTTTGTGGTTATACCAGACACGGGGACCGATTTCAGTATCGGGAGATTGCGGATTCGGTTCTGGTTGCCGCATACGCTTCTTGCACAAGCCCGGAATGATTAAGTGCGGCCGTTAAATGCACTCTCATACGTTAGTGGGTCGGAATTTGTGGCACTCAAAACTTGACTTTATTTGCCTATTTTCGCTCTGGCCAGTGTGACCGTTTTGGATGCCACGCTAAATACTACAGGAGTTGAGGGAAAACCTACCAAGTCCATTTTCCGAAAATACCATAAAAATACCGTTATTAGCTGTGGTTACTGATACCCAGTATTCCCTGCTAAATGTAACGGAAAACAAAATAGGTGTTTTTGGAATTTTTAAAACGGAGGTTTTTTGGCGGTTAATAATAAATAATAATCAGCACTATACTAAAAATGGAGGGCAAAGCGGTAAAAAAAATATTATATGATTGATTATGTAAACGAATAATAAAACAAGGAATATATTAAGAGCAAATAATTTATTTAAAATCAAATTACCTTTAAAAAGTGCTTTTAACGTGATTCGAGTTAATTGCATATTTTCTGTCAAAATTGTTTCGGTTTGGGGGCAAACAAAAATAGTTCCAAGTTTATGTATTATATTTGGTGTTTCTGCATTCTACCAATATAAGGCAGACAGGGACAACGCTATGATAGATTGATCACCTGAAAGGACTGCGAGGGACTGAGAGGCAAGATGGCACCCAAGGATACCACCTCGTTTTTGAATATGGAACGCTTAGAGAAGACCAAGAAGCTTATTGAACTATATCGATCCAGTGAGTGCCTGTGGAATTCGCAGTCTCCGGGATTTCATAGTGGTTCTGTCAAGGAGGACGCTTGGCGAAGGATTACGAGTCAGCTGAACAGTGGCTTGACTCCTGACCAAGTGAAACTTCAGGTGCTTGGCCTTCGAAATTACTACTCCAAAGAGTGCGCCGCCATCCGACTCGGCCAGCGTGCAGGTTATTGTCATGTACCGAGACACGCCTATTTCGAGGACCTTCATTTCTTGGGTAATCTGGATTTCGGAGAAACGAAAAAGGTGAGTTTTGAAATAATATAAATATTGAATACTGAAAAAAATAACCAGAATTATCCTTTGATCTGCAGCCTGAGGACAATTTCAGCCTAGTCAACCGCCTTCTTGATGATGTTTTAATCTTGGACGACAGTAGTACTATTAAAGCCAATTATCCACCCACATTTTCGGAGTCCACATTTTGCGATCATGCAGGTAGGTTAATCGGGGAAAGAAATTATATTGTTTTATACAAAAATGTCTTACACAGCTTTATTAACTCCATGCTCCAGTGAAACCAAGTGCGGTTTCACCCTCTACAATATGTTCCTAGAACCAGAGCCGGATCAACCACTTCGAAATCAATACCATCCTAATACAGGAAGAGCCACTTCCGGCAATGATCGCTGGTATCCTACAAGCTATTGTGTTCAGTGCAACCAAGAAGAAAACAAGGATTCCTGTCCGGCATGCGATGACAGAGGTCAAGACCGTTCCCCACATTCTGAAAGTGAAAGCTCCTTGAAAGGAGGGCAATGCGGCTGCTGCGATCCAGGGAAAAGTAGTCAAGTTCAGACTGCACCGCAAAGTCAAGCTCGGTCCAAAGCAGTCATCCAAAACCAGACACAAAATCAGTATCTGGCACAAGTTGAGTGTACATGCTCAAAAAAATCTCAAAAACGAAACGGGAATGAGAATCACACTCAGGATGAGTGTCCATGCTCATCGCAAAACAGGCAAAAACGTTCTCCAAGAACCAACCAAAATGGTGTATTCGTGGATATGGGAAACTGGGATGGCAATGAGTCCACCAATAATGGAGCACACAATGATAATTGGCCAGGTCCCAGGCTATGCTATCAAACCCGAAAGCAATGGGTGCCTAGGGAGCGAAGAGTTGTATCTGATGACGGTAAAAAACCCTGTTCCGGAGGTTGGAAACGAAATAACGAAGCCATCTGCAAGCGACTCCAGGATCAGTTGGTGAAACAGCAAAACCAAAGTGGCAATTACTCAGAAGAAGGAGACTCCAGTGATGATCGAAACCGGAGCTATAAGCAGAACGAACGACGTCAGTCTGGCGAGGATCAGTTAAATGTAATGCTTTTAAAGAAAAACGAACAGGGGAATTCAGCTAATGATCAAGCCTTATATCAAAATAATCAGCCGATTTCGGATCAGGGTTACTACAATAGCAGCCAACCAGTTCAAAATCAATGTTACTGCACTTATAACCAATCGAATCCAGATCCACAACGCTGCGATATCCAGGCATGTCAGTGCGTTTATTGCAATCGATCTTTAGCTCCACCCCAGGCAAATTATTACCCACCGCCGCAGTCCGAACAGAGTCCCACAAACTATCCCCAATCAGGTCCTCCTCCAAATCAACCTTATGGGGGAATGGAAAATGAGTACGGACGTTATGGATATCCCAATCAACCTATCGTTTACTGCATCAATACCGAGGATCCAGAGATCTGGGTTCAGGCTCAATCTACGGCTCCTGCTTCAAATCCTGCCCAGATGCCCAGGGTCCCACCATCAAAGTCTTGGCAGCAGGAAATACAAGATGGACCACCAGCGCCTAACTACACGGCACCCTATGATGCAAGTTTTCCACAAAATGGACTAGATAACATACACTCATCGAATATAAATGCAATACTACAGCCTGAACACCCAATACACCATCCCACCGCAAAAAGACGACAGAGGCCACCAATGGAAAACTATCAGTTTGTGGAGTGTCCTGCTTATAAAAGGGAGCCACAACCTAACTACCAAAGGGATCGATCGAACAGAGGAAATTATCAAAACCAGAAAAGAAGTGCTGATACTGATGAAGACTCGCTTGCTAGCCGGGAAAACCCAAACATCCATCAGCGTCCAGCTCGAAGACAATTGCGAAACGATAATCAAAACGGTCAGCGCAACGAAATAGATCAAGAATTTGTGGAAAATCCTAATCAAGAGAGAAGGCGGGATTATGATGATGAAAGTCCATCTCGAAGGAGGCAACGTAATCAAAATTCGGATCGTTCACCTCAGATTAAAAAACCATATGAAGAGCGTCCAACCCAAGGAAGGTCTCGAAATTATAATAGAGTGGTTAGTAACCCTAATTCCAACTATGAAGATTCTTCCCCTTCAAGGTCAAGGAGAGATCGTACCGAGAACCCAAACAAATTCAAAGGTTATCAGCTTGAATCCGACGATTCCCAAAATGAAGAGTACCCGGCATATTATCGTCCCAAGGAATGTCCCAATTTGGAATGTCCCCACCGCGAAGATAGAATTGCGGCAAAAACAAGGCCGCCTGCAAGGAATCGCGACTATGAAGAGGAAGGAAAACCAAGTTCCAATGGAAGATCGCGAGGTCGGGATAGAAACCTGCCCGAAAATGGTACCTATGAAGAGCAACAACAAGGTCCCAAGGCAAGATCCTATGGTCGAGGAAGAGAAGATATTGTGAAGCCGAAGAAAAAATCAGCTGAAGAAACTATTAATTCAAAAGGGCGAACTCAAGAATGCAACGACGAAACCTGTCCGTTTGGAGGTTATTCATTAAGGCAGGATAGAGATCGTACAGAACGTCAACCTAGAAATATGCAGGACATCAGAAACCCAAAAAATGGAAATGGCAAATACCAAAGCTCCAGAAGAAGAGACTACCAGTGCAATGATGATACGTGCCCATATGCTCCTTCTGCGGACCCTCCAAAAGAAAGGTCGAGAAAACCTCTTCAAGAGCGTGGCGATGAAGATAAGGTACTAAGGAAAAGGTATCGGAGTGAATCTGCATCAAGAAATCAACCGAGGGATACGAAAAAAACTAAAGATCCAGAGAAAAGCAAAAAAGAATTAGATAATTTTGGGAAAACAAGGAATGAAGCTCCCGAAGGTTGTGATGATTGTGAATGTGATTCAGAAGAGAATGAATACGAACCAACAGGATTGATGAATGATGAACGCAACTATGATAACCCTGAAGATCGTGGACCCCCAGAAGAGATTAACCAATATCCCAAAAGGGAGGAACGGGATGTACCACCTAAAAATAATAGAAATAATAGCAGAAGTGCAAAGGATTACCGCAATGAAAATAATGAAAAAAGTCCGAGGGGTTACCGCAATGAATATAAAAACACAACTAGTGGAAGAACAGAAATGGACAACTTTTATTCCGATGGATATGACGGCAATACTGAATATGATGCCTATCCTATAAGAGACAACCGAAACCGATCTCATAAGGAGTCCAATAATTATGATAGAACAGAAGCAAATAGAAGAGACCAACGAATCAAGGGCAATAATGCCTACTCCTCCGAAGGCGAGGATCAATCGTATCCGATGTCGGATAAAAAAAATAACATACGAAAACAAAATGAAGGTAATATGTCTCCCAAAAAGAAACCAGATTCCTGGGGAGCTGATGCATACAAGTTAGAATATGAATGTCTGTGCAGTGAGGATGAACTTCCCCAAACTGAAAATGGGTATATAAATTCTATGCCAAATAGGGACCCTCAAGAGTCCAGAAATCCAAGGGTTTTGGACAATAACAAAGAGAAAATTCAAAATAGAACCACGGGAAATATGCTCGATGTAGACGACACCAAAGGCAAGGATTATCAACAATTTGAAAAAAAAAATACGAATACATTGCCTGAAACTCCTTCACCAAATAAAAACGATAAAAAGAATCCGAATGACAATGGAAAAGATGAAAGAGGAAATGGCAACAATATAGGAGGCTGTAAATGTCATCCTGATAACAGATCCTCCATCGAGGATTGTATTTGCATTCCTCTTACTGAGCCAAAAGAACCGAAGATAACTGTTATGAATCAACGAAAGCAAGCTGGTAGTATATGCATGGCCCTAAACGTTTTAATGGATTGCGAAGGCCAGAGGGAAGAATCAACTGGGATAGCGAATAAACCGCCAGGTCAAGCAAATGTTGTAGCCAAACTAAATAAGTTCAAAATGGAACAAATGGCAGGGAAAACTAAGCCTCGTGAATCACTACCCGTATCTAATAATGGTACCCACTCGCCTTCAGAGAAGAGTAGTCCCTCCCCAAAGTCCGGAAAATCATCAAAGTCTGCCAGCCCCATTCGCCTTCTGGGGACTCCGAGGACTCAGCCAGGAGAGCCGATCAAAAGACGAGTCGCCACTGCGACAACTGGAGGGCAATCCAGTGCGAAGAGAACTATGGACACCAATGCAGCTGCCAACAGCAAGTTGCCCTTTGATCTAAAATCGGCCGCATATTTTATTTGCAAATTACAGGACGAAGGTAACAACCATCGTTACCTCCTTGTGGTGCCCAAGCAGCCGATTGAAAGACCCTATGGCCATCGGATGGGCTCAGGACAGGCGTCTGGGAAGCAGCTGCACTGCCCGCGGCAGTGCTCCGGCTTTCAGAGTGTGTCCTGGACCAATCCGTCGTCCGCAAGTCAACCGCAGCGATCTCAGCAGTTCCAACCAAGGGAGGATGGCCTCTCCGTACTGGGTTCCTTTAGGGTTCCGCCTGTCCTGGCCAGCACCGCGCTGGGCATCATCAAGGAGCACCTCAACAGGACGATTGTGGAGCGGCATTCATTTGTAAGAGGTGCGGGCCCTCCTCTCCGAAAGATGCGGCGCACATTACTATCCAGGCCGATATCGTCAAGGCCCAGGAGACCTGTTCTACGGCCATCCCACAAAGCCAATTCCCCGATTCTAGACGAAAACCGTACCCTTCTGCTCACCAACAATCCCTTCCAAAATTTGACCTTTGGCGACCACCAGCGAGAGGTGATAGTCCTGCATCCACCGGATCCTGGCTTTCGGCCCTCGAAGAACTCCTTCGGCAAGGACGAAGTGGAGGTGCAGCACATAACAGTCCGGACCGAGGACCCCGGAGTGCATCCAAGCCCACCAAAGCCGCCTGTGAAGCCCAAGCGAAATGTCCCTCGGTGATCAATCTGTAGTTGTAAAGTCCTTACACACATACTTTCCGGCCATCCTGGCCATCGAATCATATAAAGAACAGCACCCAACCGAAGCCGCAGGACTCAGCTGCCTTTTATTCAATGAGACGAGTTCTGGTCGAGGAATCGAGGGGTGTTACGCTTGGCCGCCCACATTGGTGAAGGCAGAGTTTTGGGATCGTTCGGGGTTAGCCCGAAACTTGACATTCTCCTATCAATGAACTTTTCACCAATTAATTTATGATCGTTTTCGAAGCCGTTGAGGCGTAGCCAACAATCCGATGGCCAATTGAATCTAGGGTTCTTGAAAACGAGGGCTTGAGTAGTGGGGTGTTAAAATTACTGGACAAAAAAGGTGAAAGGGTTATCTGAGCATTCCTTAAATTGCCATTGAACTAAATAAATTTCTCCCAATTTAAAGCTACTTCTTCACCGATTTAGATTAGGTTCATATTCTATATTTTCTAGTAATAAACATAATTTTTTTAGTTTTCATAATTAAAAAAAATATGTAAATTTTCAAAATTGTAAATGTTGATTCTTTATGTCTCAGTAATAAATACGTTTTCACTCTATAATCTCGGATTGCAAAAATATAAGTTTCTAAAAAACAATATTTTTAATAGAGCAATGAATTTTTGAATTCCAGTTATATTGGCCCCCTTCCTTAAATAAAGGTTAATGTCCAGATTAGAATTAGAGCTTATACCATCATTGAATCTAATTAATTTTACTCGATCTCATTTATATTCCATTTATTTCTTTTATATCTTTAGCCTATTCAACAGTAAGAAGAAAATCACATAGCTTAAATCTAACAGAATGTTTTCAAGTATCCATCTATGATAAGGATCCTCCGCTCAACCCGAAGTTACTTTCGCTGCCGCCGAAGATTGTGTAGGCTGCGGTATCCACCTCCACATCGCCGTTGTTGAGGAGATCGCATAAGGCTAGGATATAGGACTGGGCCATCTGGAGAGTCTCGAACTTGGACAGCTTTTGATCAAGGGACGGAGCGGGCACCACTTCCCTCAAACGATCGAAGGCCTCGTTCAGGCCATTCATCCTCTTCCTTTCCCGCGCATTGGCCGCCTGTCGTCTCTTTTTCTGGACAGTGGGACTGAGATTGGTCTGCTCACTGCCGGAACTGCTCTTCCTTCCATCTGATCCCGTAGAGCTGTTGCTCCGCCGCTTGGTATGCTGTTCACTGCTTCGAGCTGGGATCTCCAATAAGGATGCCATCTCTGGTTGAGTTCCGCCTGGGACATCCAGGAATTGCCATTCCGGCGATAGGAAGGCCGACTGTCCATAATCCTGCGAAGAAACGGGGTGCGTCGTCAGGTTGTAGTTGGGACTGCCCAAGTACTGGGAGCTGCCATCCTCCTCGGAGGCGGAAGAGTAGTAGTAGCTCATGGCAGATCCGAGCGGCCTGAAAGTTTCGATGCAACTGAAACGATCCCGAGTCGCTGCGCTGCAGTCAACCCCCGCGAGGTGCGTTCTACAAATATTTTCACCGCCTTGCTGACCAAGTTTGTGTAAGCGGCCCGCAAATGACCCCTGGCCCCAGGATCCTTGCCGTTATTACCATATTACCCGGCCGAAAGGATCTCCCCGAGGAGCAGGGGTGACTTTGACCCCCGGCCGCACACTTAGGGGTTAGAAGTGTGTCCCTCTCTCTCTCACTCCCTCTCCCTCTACCTTTCGCTCGACCGCCTACACTTTGACTCCTGTCATCTCGCTCGCGCAGGGCACGCGTCATATCTTGCCAAATTGGTGCTATCATGCCATGTGATCTTCTCCTCTCCTCTGTTCCCCGTAATTTGTGACTTTCACGCTCAACGGCACACACGAGTGGAAGAGAGGTGGCGAGGATGAGCTACTGTACTGAATGGCAGGGCCATCAATTAACCCGCTGGCGAACTGCATTGTGGCTCGCGTCTAGTGACCATATGCTGCACCGACCCAACTTCGGTTTGGAACCAACATATGGTCGAGGCGGACCAGTGGTTGTCTTTGGTCCTGCAAAGGTAGTTTTTGGTACTTAGCGAACACACGACATTTGCCGTCTAGCCAGTTGTCGAATCAAACTATTAACTGACAATGAGCAAGGATCATACTATTAAATGGCAATGAAAAATATATCATGGAATGATAATTACCTTGTTTTTTATGACCATCGATTTTAGGGATATTTTTGTCCCCTTTGCCATCTACTAATCAAGGCTTATAAAGTCAACTAAATAAAATATCTGACTAGGCCTTGTAGCTATAGCTATCTAATACTTCTTCATAAATATATTTCAATTGTAACAAGAGAGAACGCTATAGTCGGGTGCCCCGACTATCAGATACCCGTTACTCAGGTAAAGGGAGTGCGAGGGAGATGGAGATAGAAACTTTGATCACGCATAACTTTTTAACGAATGGTCCGATTTGAAAAATTTCTTCTACATTTCGATAGGTATTGATAAACACAATAAAACTGCATTTTTACTTTTCCAAAATATTTAAATTTTTAAAATCGTATATCAGCGATTGTGGGCGTTAAAGGGGGCGTGGCACCTTTTTGAAACAAACTTGCGCTGCGTAGGAACTCCTAGAATCTGCATGCAAAATGCTAATCTTCTAGCTTTTATAGTTTCCGAGATCTCAGCGTTCATACGGACGGACAGACAGACGGACAGACGGACAGGGCTATATCGACTCGGCTAGTGACCCTGATCAAGAATATATATACTTTATAGGGTTGTAAACGCTTCCTTCTAGCTGTTACATACTTTTGCACGAATACAATATACCCTTTTACTCTACGAGTAACGGGTATAAAAATATATTCCTTATGTTAGATGTATCTTGAAATTGCATTGAAACCTAAGAGTAAATAAATAAAAATATTAATATTTAAAATATAAGAAATAACTTTTTAGTTAAAACATTATGGAATCCGTTTTGTCTGATAAAACAAAGTGTATTAAAAAATAGGATAATAATCTTCTAATTTAGATAAGGAAAAGAAAAATGAATTAAAATTTAAATGAAAAGCAGTTATAGCTCAAGCAATTTTTTGGTTTGCTATGTTTTCAAAATTAAAATAAAAACAAGAAAGGAAAGCTAGCTTCGGGCGGAGCCGAAGTTGATATACCCTTGCAGAATACTCTGTAAATTATATTCTCCAAAATTATTCATATGATGCATTCTTAATACTCATAAAAAATCCGAACTTCCTAACTTTAACAACAACAAAGTTATGGCATTTCCAATCGTTCAGTTATATGGCAGCTATAGGATATAGTCGGCCGATCCTTATGAAATTTGGTAGGTCGGATTGATTGGCCAAAAATAAAATCCATAGAAAATCCCAACTTCCTAACTTAACAAACAGCAGAGTTATGGCATTTCCGATCAATCAGTTATATGGCAGCTATAGGATATAGTCGGCCGATCCTTATGAAATTTGGTAGGTCGGATTGATTGGCCAAAAATAAAATCCATAGAAAATCCCAATTTTCTAACTTTACAAACACCAAAGTTTTGGCATTTCCGATCAATCAGTTATATGGCAGCTATAGGATATAGTCGGCCGATCCTTATGAAATTTGGTAGGTCGGATTGATTGGCCAAGTATAAAACCCATAGAAAATCCCAACATTCTAACTTTACAAACACCAAAGTTATGGCATTTCCGATCAATCAGTTATATGGCAGCTATAGGATATAGTCGGCCGATCCTTATGAAATTTGGTAGGTCGGATTGATTGGCCAAATATAAAACCCATAGAAAATCCCAACTTCCTAACTTTACAAACGAGAAAGTTATGGCATTTCCGATCAATCAGTTATATGGCAGCTATAGGATATAGTCGGCCGATCCCGGCCGTTCCGACTTATATACTGCGTGCAAAGGAAAGAAGGGTGTGTGCAAAGTTTCAATCCGATAGCTTTAAAACTGAGAGACTAGTTTGCGTAGAAACAGACAGACGGACAGACGGACAGACGGACAGACGGACAGACGGACATGGCTATATCAACTCAGGAGGTGATCCTGATCAAGAATATATATACTTTATAGGGTCGGAGATGTCTCCTTCACTGCGTTGCACACTTTTGACCAAAATTATAATACCCTCTGCAAGGGTATAAAAACTTGTGGTTTAAAATATTTTGGATCCGAAATTATTAAAGGAGTTGATTCTTTTATAGATAATTATACCCTTGCAGAGGGTATTATAATTTTGGTCAAAAGTGTGCAACGCAGTGAAGGAGACATCTCCGACCCTATAAAGTATATATATTCGTGATCAGGATCACCTCCTGAGTTGATATAGCCATGTCCGTCTGTCCGTCTGTCCGTCTGTCTGTCCGTCTGTCTGTCCGTCTGTCTGTTTCTACGCGAACTAGTCTCTCAGTTTTAAAGATATCGAATTGAAACTTTGCACACACCCTTCTTTCCTTTGCACGCAGTATATAAGTCGGAACGGCCGGGATCGGCCGACTATATCCTATAGCTGCCATATAACTGATTGATCGGAAATGCCATAACTCTGCTGTTTGTTAAGTTAGGAAGTTGGGACTCTCTATGGGTGTTATATTTGGCCAATCAATCCGACATACCAAATTTCATAAGGATCGGCCGACTATATCCTGTAGCTGCTATATAACTGATTGATCGGAAATGCCATAACTTTTTTTGTTTGTAAAGTTGGGAAGTTGGGATTTTCTATGGGTTTTATATTTGGCCAATTAATCCGACCTACCAAATTTCATAAAGATCGGCCGACTATATCTTATGGCTGCCATATAACTGATTGATCGGAAATGCCATAACTTTAGTGTTTGTTAAGTTAGGAAGTTGGGATTTTCTATGGGTTTTATTTTTGCCCAATCAATCCGACATATCAAATTTCATAAGGATCGGCCGACTATATTCTATAGCTGCCATATACATAACTGAACGATTGGAAATGCCATAACTTTGGTGTTTTTAAAGTTAGGAAGTTGGGATTTTTTATGAGTATTAAGAATATGAATAAGAATATGAATAATTTTGGAGAATATAATTTGCAGAATATTCTGCAAGGGTATTTCAACTTCGGCTCCGCCCGAAGTTAGCTTTCCTTTCTTGTTTTATGATGTAACAGAAATATCTGACAGATATTTGCTCCCAAAAATATTGATTCAATAATTCATAGCCGAAAATCATTAAATCTTCTGTTGGCCCGATATCAATATTCATTCCTACTTTAATTTGGCACCACAACGTAGTGGAAAATAACCAGTTTTGCGCATGCACCGCCCATGGCAGTAGTCCCATCCTTGGTATCCTTGTCCCACTGTCCGTTTCTCTGCTCTTCTCCTCGCACTCCAACTTTCTCTCTCTCGGCACTTGTTTTGCTCTCGTTTTGTTTTGTAGAGAAATTGGAGACGAGGACGAAAAGGACCTTCGTGCTTTGATACAGCAACAGGATTGAATATAACGAGAGGTCAGCCAGCAGAGTGTTATCATTTAAAGAAAAGAGTTCGTGGGATATCAACACTGTGAAATTGTATCAGCAGTTTCGATAAGAGGCCTAAGCTTATCAGGATATTGAAGTGCACCTGGGAAATTGTTAGAGGAATTAGCTGGGCAGGGAAATAACTGCATTCCGCAATCGCAAATAAGTCACCCAATCACTCACACACGCATGTGTCTGTACTTGGGAGTCGTGGAGCACCTGCTGGATGTGGTGGCCTACTGCATGTGTCGAGTCCTGGAGCTGTCCCTGTTCACCTGCATGATGGTCTGTGGATCCCTGAAGGCCAAACTGACCCACGGACCCACCAACGCACTGGAGCAATGACCAGGACCCTACGAGAGCTGCTAAAATGGATGCGCCGAGTGCATGTGTGTGTGCGTGTTTTCGTTCAACTAAAATTTAATAAAGGAAGTTTTTCTAGTGGCGAATAAATTACAACTTATATGTGTGTGTAAACGATTGTCTTTCCTTCTTGTTGGTCGGGAATTGAGCCATAACTCAAGATTGCCCACGGCAAGGATTTGCTCCACGGCTCCCTGAATTTTTGCTGTTGTTTATCCTTCAGCTCCCTTTTTGTTTGTTTGTGTTGCGGAGTCGTTTATCGTACTTATTAGCCATGGTGGGGGGATTGAGGGGGGGCTTTACGGTGGGGGTACAGTGCCCATTTGCATGATGATAAAGTATCGACTGGGGCTTACATGGCCCCACATACTGGGCAATTGTGTTGCGGCTTTTGTTTTTGGCGCCTGCAAATATGCTTCACTTCTGGCCAGACATTTTATTACCAAAAACCCCCCTCCACCAACTCCTTTCATAGGTTCTACTCCGGTATTTATGTAGTTGTTTACAGCCGCCGGCTGGAGCATAAATTTATTCAAATTGTACGTGCAAATGGGAGGACATTACGTTTATTACACTACACGCAGGCAGCAGGCACTTGGAATCTGACTTTTCTAACACACACAAGTGAAGTTTTGATACATTTTTGATAGCTCTATGACAAAATCTCACTAAATTGTACCCGCGATCATGGACAGCCCAACAAAGCAGCGCCACAAACCGAAGAAACTTGCCAAGCTGGATGAAGATCTAACCAATGCCACTGAAACTAAAAAGGATATTATCGAAGAGGTGGAAGATCAGCCTGTCGTTTACGACTACATGAAGTATCCCAGTAACAAAGAAAAGGGCAAGCTCTTCAAGAGCGTGAAGCCCCGGAAAAATGTTTCCTTCAAGGTGATGGTGGAGCTGGTGACCTACACCGACAACTGGAAGATGAAGATGAGCGAGAGTAAGCTGCGCACGGAGGAGGAGCAGGTGCGGTTACGGGCCGTAAGGCCCAGTTTTAGACGCCCTAGAAACAAGTATTTCTCATACATTTAGGCCGGCTTAACAACCTCTAAAGCTTTTTATAAAAATGACATTTAAAATTATTATTATTCACTTTTTATAACAGATAAGATTCCTATATACTTCAAAACTTTTTTTTTTTGAGTAGTTGGCTGGTTAATTTTTTACTTCAGAAGTATTTTTTTGCTCCTTTTTTTAGAAAGTAACTAACCCAACTTTTGACCCGCAGCTCAAGTGCTCCCTAAAGCGGCGAAACTTCTGACGATTTCCGCTTATAAAAATCTCATAATTGTATAATGAAATTAATATGTTTATTTGTTGCAATATAGTAAAGTTAATGTTAAATATACCAAAAATACTATTAATACATTGGCTTGGTTTCTCTTTTTATTTGTAAAGATAATTTTCTTATGCTAAAAATGACAAAACGTTCTGGATGTCACAGGGTCTTCCACAGTATTAGTGTAAGCTTCTTTAGGATTGTGATTCACCCAATCCGCGGCAGCGCAACTGGTTGATTATGTTGCAGATTACGTAATCGCCGGTGTCCTTGCCCCCGAACTCCTGGGTGCGGATTCCCTCGTCCATCGTGCGCAGCATCTCGCACCACAAGGCATCCGCGCACTTATCGTGGCCCAAGTGCTCGAAAAGATCAACAATGGTGGACACGATGCCATAGGCACTGAGAGTGGCATAGTTGGTCAGCGAAAGCTTCGTCTGCAGGGGCTTGAACACGGCATGGTGATCCCCGATCTCCACGGCACTAAAGAGATTAGCTCCGCCACAGACACCGCTGCAGATCGTGGACAGGAAGGTGGCATAGCGATCGCTGGCGAAGAGGCAGTCGAAGTAGGTGGGTTCGGTGATCAGCCGGCTGACGGCCTCCTCCACCTCCATGAGCTCCAGCTCCAGGCAATCTTTGTAGGGGCAGTGCATCCGCCTGGCGGCCTCCACCAGGGAACCGTCGCTAATTGGCCACTCCTTGGCCTTGTTGATCAGGGTCACCCGTTTTCGGCCCGCCTTTGCCGCCGCAGCAAAGGCGTGTTTCAGGTACTTCTCATTGCCCTTCTGGGTCACCACGGATAGGGCCTCCACCACACCCTTCACTGGGGAATATTCCAGCTCGTTGTAGTTTCCCATGTTGTTCTGGCCAATCATCTGGATGTCCACGCCCGGGAAGCGACATTTGAATCCGGGAAAACTGCGCGTTCTTGTCTTGAACACATACAAGTCCAGATCGTTGCTAATTTTGAGCGCCTTCTTTTTGGCCTCCCCATCAGCCTGGATGTCCACGTGGATGGCGGATCTGTTCCGGAGCACCGAGTTGAAGTACTCATCATCCTGTCCCGCCTCGATGACCTGCCCCTCCACGGGCACCTTGCTGCTCTGCAGCAGGGACGTCACGAAGTGGGCTCCCTGCTGGCCGATGATGGTGCTGCCCGTGAGCAGGGACACGTAGTTGATCCCGCCGTACTTGGACTTGGGCAGCACGTTAACGGGCTGCCGGGTGTCTCCCTTGGCGAACGCCGCTCGCACGCTGCTGTTGATGTTGATCCCATCGGTGTAGTTGCGGATGCCGATCCGCGACAGCTTGCGACTACTGGGCCTAAGGAGCATTTTATTTTTATATTTAAACGAAGAGAAAGAGTCCCAAAATTTTAACAAGTTCGCCAACAAATGACAGGATCCGCTTTGCTTTCACGCTTTTGGTTGAGTTTTTTTTAATCTTTGTTTTTGTGTTATTGCGTTTTTGGTGTATTTACTTTCTTTATATATTCAATATTTTAGGCATTTCAAATAATTTAAAATTGGAAAGGTAAAGGTAAGAGAGTTCCAAAAAGGATATGTGTGGTTAGCATTTAAGCCAATGAAGGATAATCTAAATCTCTAAGTTAAGATACATTTGTATCTTATGTTTAGTTCCCCAAATTTCGATCAAATATACCTTAATTATTTTCAAATTTCTATTCAAATAGTTATTTAAAGGGAGCATCTGTGTACTGGAGAAAGAATATCTTACGTTTGAGAGAAAATAAAAAGCTGAAAATATGTTTCTCGCATGACAGTTTTTTATTTACCCCTTCTTGCCCACCCCGAATCCTGCCCAGGACTACATGTCGAAGCAGAGCGCCTTATTGGGACAGGGACAGCCATCGATGCCGTAGCGCCCGATGGGGATGTCCGTCTGGGTCTGCTTGTGCTGCGGTCCGGGCAACTCGTAGAAGTTGTCGCTGAAGTAGCGATCCGGAAGGTAGTACATGGGGTACTCGGCCCTCAATCTCTCGTGGTCCTCCTGCAGGCGCTTGGCCATCTCCGGAGCGGCACGTCGGGCTTCCAGGCGGTACTGCTTCGGCTTCGCCATCCGGAGCGGCACATTCAGCTGCAGTTTCGAGTGCGGAATATAAGAGAGTAGCTCCCGGTCCATTTTCACCGCCTGCTCCGCCCGGATTCTAGCGCACGTGGCGCACTTGCACTTCCCGCCGTGGTAGCAGTACCGCTTCCGTCCATCCTCGTCCACCATCAGCAGCGGTGTGCATACGGGCGCCGGTACCGCCTGCGGCTCCGTCTGTGTCGCCACCGACTCCTGGGCGGGTTGGGAAAACATACTGGGACCTGGGATTCGATTCGATTCAGTTCAATGGGGTACGAATGATTTGGATTACAAATTGAAACTGAAACACGAAGGGGAAACGAAAATCCTAGTGCGACAGCAGCTAAAGCCTGGCTTGCTAGACATAAAACATATAATGGTGACACTGTGAACAATGAATAAAGATTACAAGGTTGTGGAACCACTTCCATTGCATCCGCAGCTCAGTGCTGAGTTGGGATATGCCATGGAGGAGTTCCACAACCAAGTGAGATCCCTATACCGATCACAATTCCGATCCATATTCCGCTTCAAGCTCTTATCTCCCGTGCAGTAAATGTTCTGAGAGAGATCCGTTTTTCCAAGCTTTGGCAGACCACAATGAGGACACTCACAAGAGTCCTTCCGAACCGTTTCAGCAGCCTTCATTTGGAGATAGTAGTCCTTGAGCTCACGCTGTCGCACTTCGAGGAAGAACTCCCGCATTTGTGGAGAGTCCTCTTCGACTGGCTCTTTTTTGGATTCCTTCAATCTGCATTCCAATGAAACGGTCTTAGTCGTCTGTGGATTCTTGGTCACTTTTGTCTCACCGCTTAACGTCTTGCTTTTCGGCGAGGAAGTTGAGTCAATTGAAACGCTATCCAATTCCGAGATCCTGACGGAAGTGTTTCTCTTTTTCAGTGCTTTGGGTGCAGATCTAATCACGCCACTAAGGATCGAGCCTTCCGTGTACTTTCGGACATAGGTGTTGGTCTTGGTCATAGATCCAGTCGTGTTCAATAAATACCAGTTAAGCGGCATTTCCCTCTTGGTCTTACTAGCATCTGTTCTAAAACATAAAATTTTGTCAACAAATCACTGGCAAACTTAGAGATATAACTAGAAAAAAAAAAAAAAGTTCGAAGCTTTAAGTTTTTTTCTTAATTGTTTGGCTAACATATTGGTAGTCATCATTATTTTGCATTAGTGTACAATAAAATGTTGTTATTGATTGTAAAGCTTTTCATGCCGTTCTCGCGCCAACACGATTTCGTGCAATCTCGGATATGGCGTGAGCTTTCCGAGAGTATATGTACATTTTGTTCTACAAAACGAACTGCAATTTCTCGTTCGGTTCAGTCATTAGCCGGATGCAAAGCGGTTCGAGTTGTTTTACTAGTCAGTATTTATATATATATTCATCATGTCGGCGATCGAGAATGAGACGCAGTGGCTGCGTGCAACGATTCTCCCAGAGATTCTGAAAAACGGGCGACTGGTGGACAACTACAGCGATTCCAAGGCGGATACCTTCCTTGTGGGGGACATCGATATAGACGTGATCGGACCATCAGAGGCCTTTATGCTCACCTTCTGCTACCGGACTACAATCAACTTTGAGTACGACGGAGAGAAGTTCCAACGAAAAATGGTCGTTAAGGTAGTGAGATTTGATAGCTGCATATCAATAATTAAGTCAAAAGGGGGCTGTTTCAATTCCACAAATGGGTAATGTTATCATTGTGCCTCCAGTCACGGAATTAATGAATTGTGTTATGTCGTAAGGGGGAGGGGTGTGACGATTCTACAAATGGGGTAATTTCATCTTAGTACCTCATTCACGGAATTGAAGAATTGTTTTCAGTACACTCCCATTAAAAGTGCATAGTATAGGTCCCCGTATCTACGTTTGCGGATAAAGATATGGCAGCTTTGTAACTTGAATACGCAAATATGTCTCTCATGAGTACAGATGTCAAGCATTTTTGGCAAACATTGTGAAATTCTGTAGATATTTTCCTCATGTTTTTGTTGTGGTTGTCTTATCAAAGCAGTTATGGATCAAAGCAAATTGGTCGATAAGGTTTCGAAAACTCATGCAGATTACCAAATTATGGCTTGTTATCTCCAACTCGTAGTAAGATAATTCCAGGACCTAATTTAACAGGTGCATATTATATGCAAAAATATGCAAAATTTGCAGTGAATCACTCTGCAAATCACTCTGATTTAAATCCTTTTTTAATTGTTTTTTTGCAGAAAACTCCTATGATGCCACCAGATGTGTATGAGGCCGTTCAGTTTGGGGCTCTTTTCAGCAATGAGATAAACTTCTACACGGAAGTGCTACCAGAGTTACAGAAGTTGGCTGGAGGAAAGTTTGCCGCCCCTAAGTATTATTACAGTGAGTTGAATCCGTACTCGGCCGTGATCATTCTGGAGAATTTTGCGGAGCAGGGATGGCGGGTGACCAAGGATCTGGTGGGTCTGAGCCTGGAACATGCATTGATTGCCGTAGCATATCTGGGCAAATTTCATGGCTTTGCCTATGCCATGAAGCACAAGAATCCGCAGAAGTTCGCCAAGCTGACTGAAGGTATTAAGGAATCGCGCTACGCCTCCGAAGTGGTTCATCCGGAGTTTGAGCTCCAAATGAAGACGTGCAACAAGCGGATAGCAAAGGCGGTGGCCACCTATCAGCCCCAGATTGACGAGGAGTTTGTGAAGAAGCTTTGTTTTCTGATCGCGGATTACAGGCTATATGGCATGCAACGAGTGGCGCCCCGGGAACCACTGGCCACCCTCTGTCATGGCGATTATCTGAGAAACAACGTGGCATACAAATATAATGACAAGGAGGAGCCGCAGGAGATCATGATGTTCGACTACCAGACGCTGCGTGTCTCCTCTCCCATGATCGATCTCTCTGTATTTCTGGCTTTATCCATTTATGCCGAGGTACGAGATGCCCACTTTGAAGCCATCTTCGCTGAATACTGCTTGGCCCTACATGAGAGCTATAAGAAGCACGCACAGGTGGATGTTCCAGCGGCCATGAGGTGAGCTAAAATATATCAAAAATAGTACTTGAAATAGCTGTAAAATTTGTAATTATACCCTTGCAGAGGGTATTATAATTTTGGTCAGAAGTTTGTAACGCAGTGAAGGAGACGTTTCCGACCCTATAAAGTATATATATTCTTGATCAGGATCACCTCCTGAGTTGATATAGCCATGTCCGTCTGTCCGTCTGTCCGTCTGTTTCAATACCGTTTGCGAGCTCAGTTTAAAAGCTAGCGATCTGAAACTTTCACACTCGTCCTAAAACATGTGTACGCAGATCAAGTTTGAAAATCGCCCAGATCGGACGTCTATATCCTATGGCTCCCATAGGAACAATCGGATATATCTTTCAAGAATTGATGATATTTCGCGCAGTGTAAAAGCTATTGACATGAATCTTTCCAAATCGTATTTTTTTATGCATACCTTGATCAGGGTAAAAGCACGTGGCGATCGGACGTCTATATCCTATAGCTCCCATATGAACAATACGGTGAAATCGGTTAAAATGTAATGATTTTTAGGATATTTCGCACAGTATATAAGCAATTGACATGAATCTTTCCAAATCGTATTTTTTTATGCTTACCTTGATTAGGGTAAAAGCACGTGACGATCGGACGTCTATATCCTACAGCTCCCATAGGAACAACAGGGTGAAATCGGTCCAAATTTGTTGGTTTTCTGAATTTTTCGCGTAGTGTGTAAGCTACTGACATACATTTTTCCAAGTCTTATTTATTTACGCATATCTTGATTAGGGTAAAAGCGCTTGCCGATCGGACGTCTATTTCTTATAGCTTCCGTAGGAAAAATAGTTAAAGGCTGCGAAAGTATCCCTTTTTTCAATTTTTAAATGACATTTTTGCAGTATAAAAGCAATTGACATCAAACGACGCAAATCTAGTTTATTTATGTATATCTTATTCCTTTCGCTACTTTTTGAGTTTTAGCAACTTCGGCAAAGTCTGCAAGGGTATTAAAACTTCGGCATACATGATGCATACATTTATATTTGCAAGAATTTAAAATGTACCTTTTAAACTATACGCTTCAGCTCAAATTTTTAAACAGGAATCCCTTGAATTTCGTAAAAACAAGGATTATATTTCCAAATTCGCAATCATGCTGAATATTTGAAAATTTTTGACACCTACTAAAATAACATAAAATATATAGAAATAATAAAACCTTTGAAACTCAGAGTGATTTTGACGTTTTTGTTTTTTGCTAACTGATAATCATTGTTTTTGATATTTACTATCTTACTAAGAAAATAATCATTATAACTAAGCATGATTTCTTTTTTTTTAAATACAAGTCAATTATTTTTGACAAAAAAAAAACGCTATCAGCTTAAATCGAAGAAATCACGTTTGAAATGATAAGATAATAGATAATTTAGACCTGTCTTTATGTACATACATATACATATCTATGCTTATATATATACCGTTTTCTGCTACCCTTTTAGTCGTGGAGAGCTTCTGAAGGAGTATACGCGATTCCTGCCGTACAGCCTGGCCATATGTGCCTCTTTCCTCATGACTTTGGTGGAGCCATTAAATATGTCGCCACAGGAGATGTTTGCCAGGCAAATGACGGATGAGGAGATCATAGATCAATCAATGAAGCAGGGCGGGGATGTAGTGGATAAGGAGATTGCCCACCAGGTCAAGGAATTGCTGGAACTGAGCCAAGCGACTGGGGTCTCCATTGACGACGGAATAGATTTGGAAAAGTTGCCCAAAGTGTAATCTTATCCGTATTCAAACGTAAAGAATAAAACGAATTTGTATTGACCTTACTTATGTATGTATATATGTTTTGGGTGCGAGGAAAAAGATTACAAATCGACTGTGGTCATAACTACCCAACGAAGTTGATGGAGAGGGTTATACATTCCAAATTTAGGAGGCGATTTGTTCAATCTTATCATACACATTATTTCAAATTTGTTTTCGTTATCAGCATTTTCTTTTGATCGCGGGCTGCAACAGCTGATTGTGGTGGAACTGCCAACCTGTTTGCATTCCGCATTTTCGAACACTATCTCACACATGTGAGCAAAAAATAACAAACACCAAAAATGTTACAACCTTCCCGGCAGCAAATTTTGCGTTTGTACAAACATTTAATTCGTTACGGCAATCATTTAAAACTGACCGACAAGAACTACTTTCTGGGAAGAGTTCGACACGAGTTCCGGGACAACCGATCCCTTACAAACCCGGTGGACGTAGAGTTCAGTTTTAAGGTAAAAACTCTTTCTATTTCATAACTGTTTCTGAAAATTAAAAGTACCATAATTTTAGCGCGGGGAGACCTTATTGAAGAAGGGACGCATTCTGTAGGTATGCTGCGCGGTCTGGTACGGTTCCTGGCGCTTCCTCCGCCCGCTGTGCGCTGCAAATCCACTGCCAATCTGGACTACTCCCGCTTTCCCACGCTCCAGGAGTCCGAGATCGAGGAGACCTTCATGCGCGGCAGTGGTCCAGGTGGCCAGGCGGTAAACAAGACCTCCAACTGCGTATTCCTGCGCCACCTGCCCACCAACATAACCATTAAGTGTCACACTCATCGACTAGCATCCAAAAACCGGGTGGAGGCCCGGAAAATGCTGCTGGAGAAACTTGATGTACATCTTAATGGGGAGCATTCAATTACGGCGCAGATCAAGGCCCAAGAGCAGCGAAAATCGACGGAGCGGCGACGTCGGCAGGGCAAACTACAGGAGATGAAGAAAAGCTGGCAGGATAGAGAGCGCACAGATGGAGGAATCGAATCCACTGATAAATAGTCAATATAAATACTTTTATACCAACATAAAATCTCTTAAACTTTTATTTTTAAAAGGACAACTGCTACCAGCTGGAGAAATTTCCAAAACCATTTGCCAGTTTCTTTTTCTTGGCTGATTGGCTGGCAGATACCGACGACTCTGGCTTTTTGGTTACTGCCTGAAGTTTTAAATACTTGCCCACACCTTCCCTGTAAACCTTCAATGGCTCCTTCATGCGCTTTTGCTGCTCCTCCTTCTTGACAGTCTCCTCCTTGCTGGCAGCCTCCTCCTCGCGCTCCTTGGCCAACTGTTCGGTTGCCTCGGCAAAGGGATTCACAAAGACCTGAGAGTTCTCTATGATGATGTCCTCAATTGGTCTGTCTTTGTTGTCCACCTCGATGTTTTCCATCTTCTGAAGCGTGTCCAAGCCGCCGACGAGCTTGCCAAAGATTGTGTGCTTTCCATCGAGATGTTTGCACGAGCGGTAGGTAATAAAGCTGCACAATAAAAAACAGATTAGCAGTGGTTAAAAAATGAATACTTTTGAACATACAACTGAGAGCCATTGGTGTTGGGCCCTGAATTGGCCATGGAGAGCACTCCTCTGCCCGTGTGCGTGAGATTAGGCTTAAACTCGTCCTCAAACTTCTTGCCCCAAATGGATTCGCCACCAGAGCCACTGCCCGTGGGATCACCTCCTTGCACCTAAAGCAAAAACGATTTCAATATAATGCATCTTGTAAAGTGGATCGTACTTACAATAAAATTTCTTATGGATCGATGAAACATAACATTGTTGTAGTAGCCACTGGCGCAGTGCTTAATGAAGTTGTCGCAGGCTCGAGGAATTTGGTCGCAGAAGAGTTCTAAGTTGAGGGGGCCATGATTGGTATTTAAGCGAACGTAGCCCTTCTTTTTAACCCGCTCGTACTTCACCAGATCGTCATCTATAATTGCTGCCTCTATCTGGGACACGGGCACCATGGCGGTGGACGTGAAACTGGCAGCCACCGCTCCAGTTGAATAGTGGGCGGCATTGAACTTATCGGCTGTGCGCCTGGAAGTGGAGGGCTCCTCCTCGGTCGGCTGATAGTCCTGTTGTAGCTGCTCTAGCGTTTCCTTGGTTTCCAGATTCATAGTCTTAATGCGCCCGCTGGCAGGATTTTTCCGCTCCAGCAGCTCCTCCTCCGTTAGAACTCGCAGGTTCTTCTTGATGTGATGAAAAGTTGATATGTCGTACTTTTCCAGCCTCTGAGGATCCTGTATGGTGATAATGTCCTTGCGCTGAAAGGGTGTGTCATCCACCAAGTCCTTCCAGTTCTTCGTCTTGATATTTAGCTGATCGATGGCCTCCCAGCAGTAGACATTTCCCGTGGTGCCCACCGCCACAATGTGCGAGTTCTTGCTGAAGGGCTTGAACAAGGCGGGACAGTGGTACTCATCGTTGGCATTCCTGTGGAATTTCAGTTTGATCAGGGACTTAGAGTCCATCTTCTGACCGTTGATGGGGTTCACTTTGAAGGTCTTCAGGAAGTTCAGGATGGCCTCGTACTCGAACACGTTGCCCTGAAGATCACAGTAGGGCATCTCGAAGGGCGCCATTGTGATGCAGCAGTGCTCGAAGGGAAGCCGCTTGAACTTGACATGGTTGTTCTCCGCGGACTCAAACTTTTTCCCGCCGTACAACTCACTCCACTCCGTGTACGTAAGGTACCTAGGAAAGTAAGGGTCTTACTTATGTTTGATGTGTTTGTGTTTGTCTTAGGCACTTACATTTTGTCCTTTTGATGCTGTCTTTTACCCATTTTGGTTGTTTTTAATTACAAATTGTAAGTTTATCTATAAACTCCTGACTTTTGTTTACAAATGCGAGATAGAACTGCCAACTCTTCTGCAGCCATATTTTCGGTGGTTTTAGACGGCTTACACTGCGTGCATCCTTACGAGCTGTTAGAACTTGAGAATTTTTCAATCACTTGTATATTTTATACATACAAAAGTATTAAAGATGATACTTGTGGGAAAATATGTTATCTTTAATATAAGCCACACAGATAAAAAGTAAATAAATAAATGCTTGCGATTAAACAATTCCAATGGACTTTTTATTAAGAGTATGTTTACGATGAAGATTTTAATTATTAAAAGGTTTACTTTAAGTCTTCAAATAGAAACTCCATTTTTTAAATTGTATTCTTTGCTACTGAAATGTCCAGTGTGAACGCTTTGCAGCAGGTACTACCTGCTACTTACCTATTACTTTCCCATTATTTCTACGTTTGCCAACACTGTGCTTCGCAGAGTCAGCTGTTCGCTGGGAAGGTTCAGCAGAATCAAACAACAAAGAATTTTCCAACTTATACTATACAACGATATAAATAGGCAGCACGGTTGACCTTGACGTTGGGCGATGTCTAGCCCCCATATCAACTACCGCTCCCTGGCCGAGGAGGCGGCCAGTCCGTTCCTGGAGCAGCATCCCTCCGCGGGCCAAGGCCCAGCAAAAACACAAGACGCAAAAGCGAACGCAGCTGCTGCGCATTTAGACCCCCTCGGCGAACACGGGATGGAGCAGCCGCTGGAGGAACACGACACTGAGCACGAAGGCGAGGACACGCCCCGAAACAGTGGCGTCATGATCCACATGGTGCCGGAGACGGGGCGTGCACGGTGGAACCACATCGAGGACCTGGACTCTTTCTTCTCGCGGATGTATCAGTACCAACAGAAGCACGGATTCCGGGTGATTGTGCTGGACGAGATGCTGCAGGTGCTGGAGTTCGGCTTCGTCGTCTGGCTGCTAACCTTTGTGATGCACTGCGTGCGCTTCGACGTCCTCTTTGGAGATGCCCTGCCCATGGGAGACAATCCCACCAAAACTACTTTATCCGATGTGATCATCCCCACGGGGGAGTGCGTGGCCAGCTTCGGCTGGTTCACCTACCTGGTTGTGTTCATTGCCGCCATCTATCTGGGTATCCGGGTGCTTAAGATGGTCTACCACATCACCCAGTACGCCGATATCAGGAGATTCTATAACTCTGCGCTTCACATCGAGGACGCGGACCTGGACAGCTTTACGTGGCACGAGGTGCAGCAACGCATCCGTCGCGTCCAGGCTGAGCAGCACATGTGCATCGACAAGGAGTCGCTCACGGAATTGGACATCTACCACCGGGTGCTGCGCTTCAAGAACTACCTGGTGGCCCTGATGAACAAACAGCTGCTGCCAGTGAGGTTCCACATACCTCTGTACGGGGAAGTAGTCTCGCTCAGTCGAGGTATGTTGTTCAACATTGACTTCATCCTGTTCCGCGGTCCGGGATCACCCTTCCAGAACAACTGGCAGCTGCGGGATGAGTTTGCTGTGAGGAGCAATCAAACGGAGCTGGCTCAGCGCCTTTCCAAGCTGATACTGGGCGTGGCGTTGCTTAATTTGGTCCTTGCCCCTGTGATCTTCGTCTGGCAGCTTATCTACTTCAGTTTCTCCTATGCGAACATCTTGCGCAAAGAACCAAGTGCTCTGGGACTGCGCACCTGGTCCAACTACGGACGCCTCTACCTGCGCCACTTCAACGAGCTTGACCATGAACTGGATGCTAGGCTAAATCGGGCTTATGACTATTCAGACCGATACCTCAGCTCGTTCTCCTCGCCGCTGGCTGCTGTGATAGCCCGAAATCTGCTGTTCATCAGTGGAGGACTGCTACTGCTCATCTTGGGACTGGGCATCTACGAGGAGCATGTCTTCCAGGTGGAGCATGTGCTCACCATCATCGCTGTGCTCACTGCAGTGGGTGTGGTCTCCAGAACTCTAATTCCCGATGAGAATCTCATATGGTGTCCGGAGCAATTGATGACCGCCATTCTGGCGCACGTCCACTACCTGCCCTCCGAATGGCGACAGCAGGCGCACACGGCTCGAGTTCGCCAGGAATTCAGCAACTTCTTCCAGTTCAAGGCTGGCTACCTGCTCAGCGAGATCTTCAGTCCGTTCGTCACGCCCTTTGTGCTCATCTTTGTGTTCCGGCCCAAGGCCATTGAGCTGGTGCGCTTCTTCAGGACCTTCACCGTCTCCGTGCGGGGCGTGGGCAATGTCTGCTCCTTCGCCCAGATGGACGTACGCAAGCACGGCAATCCCGACTGGCAGCTGGCCAGCGAACTGGATGAGATGACCCGGCCGGCGGCTCAACAGCCGCAGCAACAGCAGGAGCCGCAGCAGCAGAGTTTAGCCGGCGGCAAGACCGAGATGTCGCTGTTGCGCTTCACCCTCAACAATCCCGAGTGGCAGATGCCCAAGGAGGCCAAGCAGTTCCTGCGGGGCGTCCGTGAGCACGCCGTGGGTGAGCTGGTGCAGGCTAAGACTTCGATGGTGCAGGAGAACCCGCTGACCAACAGCCTCATCTCGTTCGGCACCATGGGTGCGGACTACTGCTCCATTGCGAACTCGGTGCTGACTGCCCAACTGACGCCCCAGCAACTGGAGATCTCACAGTCGCTGCGTCCGGGCTTAGGCCCTGTGTCCGGAGGATTCCCCGTCGCGGCCAGCGACTTCCGCCAGATGCTGCAGCAGAATCTGTCCGCCAGCGTGGGCCCGTTGGACAGCATGCGCCGGCTGCGTCTCAGTCGGGCTGAAGGCCGTTTGGAGGGTCCGTCGGACACCCTGCTCTACGGACTCTGTGGACTGGAGCCGCGCGTGGGCAGGAGTCCCTTGAACGTGGGCGTGGCCGACATGTGCCTGAGCGCCCTCTATCTGCACGAGCTGAGCCAGCAGAAGCGCCAGGCGCGCCAGTCCCGCATCGACGAGGCGGAGGACGAGCGTCCGGGACCAAGCCACTGGCCACCACGGCCACCAGCTGCTCCGTCGACTGCCGGCGGCTCTGGCTCCGGCTCCCGCCATACCGTGATTACCTCAAAGGCTGCCGAGAGCACGCCGCTGCTGGGGAGCATCCGCTCATAGCAGCGGCCCGAGTGGATCTAACCACTTGTAGAGCTAAGGACCACCCATTCTGCTATTAGTGATTAACCTAAGTTTTAAAGTGTGAACGAACGAACGAGCGAACGACGTCGTCTAGTGCGTAGCTAAACTAATGTGAAACTAAGCTAAACTAAACGAGAAGCAATAAACATAACTGCATTATCAAAAATAATAGCTTACTTACCTTGGTTATTTTGAGTAAATTGCTATGATTGCTATGGTGCAATATTAAAAAACTTTGATTATACGTACTATTTTTAATAGGGTGATATATGATAGGTTACCTTAACCCCATTTTTCCAATATATTACAGTCTTTTAACAGTATAAACCAAGTAAGTACCACACGAATTCCGAATTCATTGTGAGGATTATATTTAATGGCTTTGGCACTTATCCCGATCTTACCTCTCCGGGTTGTGGGAATCCGAAGGTGACACCCCGGCCAACTGCAGGGGCTCTGATGGATGGCCCCCATTTGTAGGCATTGTTGGCACACCACATCCACCTGGTTCCGAGATCCAGATGCGAGTGGATGAGGAGAACGCATCCAGCTGTGCTGCAGCGCCTCGTGTGTCACTTGCCACACACGAACGCCATTTGGCGATTGGTGTTGATGGCCAATGCGGCGAGCAGAGACTGGAGAGTGGAGCGACTGGAGAGTGCGTGCCTATGAATCTCCCAAGTCCGCAGACACCGATACAGATGCAGATACCGCAGATCCCCGCCAGCTGCGATGGCAATGGCTGTGGCAACATTTATGAATTATGTGCGTGCTGCATGGAGCTGGAGCTGGAGCTGGAATCTGCGGCTGGATCGCTGGAGAGTCTTTGGATCACGTTGTCTCATTTTTCCGCTGCACGCCAATTTTGGGGGGAGCATTGGCCAACATTACACGAATGTACGAACTGCCAGTCGGCCACTTGCCCGTTTTGGATCCATCCTCCGACTGTCGGAGTCCGATGGACGCTGGAGATGCAGTTGCAGTTGCATGTAGTACTAATTGTAGAGCTCGCGATAGCCGATCCGGCACAGAGAAAAAAGTATTTCAGAATCAGATTCAAAGTGTTAACCATTAGGAACTTACAAAATACATAATACATAATAATAAATACTATTGAGAAATGTGGGTAGGTAATATAAAATAACATATAATAAAATACAATTCTTTTCTTACAATTATAATTTAAACCATTGTAAATAATATATTTATGTACATATAATACTTGGGTTTTCATATCCTAGATTCTATGAAACTTTTGAGTAAAATCGAAAAGGGGGCAATTTTAATATTATTTTTTGTATTTTCTAGTTTGTTTAAGAGTTTAGAAGAACATTTAGTTGGTTTCTTTAAAAGTTACCAATTTCTGGAAAATTATTTTCCGATTCTGTGCTCTATATTCCTGTATTCCTGCTTATTGTACAGTTATTATAAATATTAGAGGTGTTTCCAATCTAAGTGTCAATTATTGCTGATCTATTTCCCCCCGTGTAGTTAAATGCAGTGGAGTGGGACGACGCTTATGGCTCAAATGGAAACATTTCGCGAGCCTTGTCAAACAATCGAATTTAATTTATGATTTCCTGCGCCAATCGAGTAATGACACTGCATGTGGTAGACCTCGGCGGACCCCGAAACTCTGGATATCTGGTGATCACTCGATACGCAATTTGGACACAGCAGGGCCAGAAATTCGACTTCGGCTTCGGAATCGGAGTTGGAATTGGAAAGGCTAAGAGGGAATGGAAATGGATGTGGATTGGATATGATCGTGCGGCGACGGGAGCCACTTGCATATGCGGTTGTCTGGGATTCTGATGGCTGTGGACCACCGCGTCGCGATCGGCCAGCAGAACCAGTTCAAGATCAGGCGTCACTTTGCGGCGCTGAGTGCCGCTGACAGTTGGATAAGGTTTCGAGCTGGAGAACGGAGCTCCGAACTCCAGCCTCCAGATCGCAGCTGCCATTCCGCAATTAGAGCTGTTCCTGCAACTGCAACTGCAGCAGCAACAGCAACAACAGCAACAGCAGCAACAGTTGTTGCTGCCGCACGTCGGCCGCTATCAAACGTGTCTCTATGTCTCCGGCAGCGACTAATGATGATGGTTCCATGTCCAGTGTCCACCGATCACCAATGATCACCCCCGATCCCCTGCAGATTCGAGTGTGAAGCATCAGCGTCGCCTTTGATTGACAACTGATCAGCGTTTTGGAGCAGCGTTTCCCACTTTTGGAGCACGCACGTTCTGTTTGCCTCCATCCTTGCCATGATAACTTATCGATTTTTTTCATAATTAAAAAACCGGCTCTGCTTGGCTCCTTACAAATAGGCATCTCGGCTGGAGGATCGCTTTAGATTGCGTTCGGTTCAAATGGTTTAGTTGCAGCCCCGGATTTGCATTGCAAATTAGAGTCGCCTTCATTTCTGCTTTCTCCCCTTCTTCCCCCTTTTGCTCTTGTAATCGAGGCCCGATTCAATAAAACATTTAAACATTAAACTGCTTTTATGCAAATTGCCGGCATGCGCTTAATTTTCGATCAGCCGAGGAGTCTGGTTTTGGCCTAGCATCCGCTTGAATTATCTCCGCATCGCATGCCTGCAACACCTTACGATCTTGTGATCCCTCTTTGTAGCCCGCCTCCTCCTCCGTCCACTGGATGATAGCATCTACAACGTCTACAGATCTTTTGCAGTTTAGCTGCCTCCGCGGCCACAGCTCCTCCATCTAATGGCAGTGGCTAAAATGCTAATCAATAGCCTTATCGCTATTAATCTCGGCTTCGATTTACCTTTTGCCCGGCTCTCTGTCGGCTACTTGTTTTTCGAGATGCGATTCGCAGGGGGATCGGAGGATCGGGGGAAAGGGTATTGATTGGAGCCCGCAATCCATTAAACATCCAATTGCTGTTGCCTGTTTGTAAATGTTTGTTGGCTTAAATTGTGGAGCGTTTGTTTCCCAGCCATCATTACGTTAATTAACATTGAGCATACGCCGTGTGGGTCAGCAGGAAGAAGGCAAGCTGGCGATGTGGGAAAACATGGTAACCTCTTCTGGATCTGACAGGTAAATAGATTGCAGTCGGAATAGAATGTTTTCAGTCTTCAATCCTAACAAATTGGTCCAAATACGGAATCTTATACTTTATTAAACTCGTAAAAATATAACCATTTTTGTAAAACTACAACTTTGCTCAAAAACCTATTTGTTGTAAAAGGATAATAATCGATAGATCGGGTCCAACCATTTTAGCCAATTTAAAGGGAAAACACTCAAAAACATCTAAGATATAAATAAAAGTATTGTGAAGTATCAAAGAATCAATGAAGATTTAAATTTTAAAAACTCCCTTTGAAACAGACCAGTTTTTTTAAATTCCCCCTTGCAGTATTTCCATTACCAACATTGTAGTAAAAGCAATCTCCATTACAAAGAAGGTGAAACTCAAATTGACTCACAAACTGTAAGTTACAGTTATAGGTGTAACTCAAATTGACTCACAAACTGTAAGTTACAGTTATAGGTTTGACCAATTTACTACCACTATCTGCTCCAATCCTGCCCGCAATCGCAGCACGATGATCAGGAGGAGATTGCATTCTTCGGACTCATTAATTTGGTATAAGCCCTCCAGCTGCAGGTCACTTGGAGATCGGGGGAGTGGGCGGAAAGGATCGGTGGAAAGGGGCCAAGTCATTGGCATATTTATGAGGCAGCCGCTCCCCACAGACGCACAGGCAGCCGGAGCGTCGAACATGAGCCTGCCGGGCGGCAACAGTCTCCAATCTCCCATTTCCCATCTCCACCTCTTTAGATCCCATATACCCCATTTACCATCTCCCGATCCCCTACTTTCCCGGCTTATATTGGCCCGCTCCTTTTCACTTCAGCTGGGCTCCATTGGCGCGTGGGCTGGATTGGCCCGATGCTGGGATGCTGTCGCCCGAAGTGGATTTTCTGTTCAACAAGTAGTTTATGATGTTTTTGTCAATTCATGGCAAAATTAATGACGCTGCAGAAAAGCACACGCACATGGAATCTGCTGCACACGAAGAAATTTTGGGGTTTTTCTAATATTTTAATTAATATAACCCAAATTATGTTTTTTGTATGTATTAAAAATGAATTCACATAAATTTGGGCTAAAAATCTTTCAGAATGTTTTATGTGTTTTATGGGTTAATAAAATTTCCTTACATATTTTCTCAGTTACATACGTTTCTAAATAAACCTTAAGAAAATACATATTTAAAGATTTCTTTAAAAGGTAATAAATTTGGAACTATTTTAGCTATAAACTTATGAAAATAGATGTTTTAAAAATATACAGGTTGTAACTGGATCATAAATTGAGTAATATATATTAATGTTTTAAAGGGTTTGCTAGGCTTCACTTAAAAATTACTTTTCTTAAATTCAGTAATGTAGTGAAAGGTTTCGACTTTGGTATGGAATTAAGTTAAACTTCTAAGGCGTTTATTATTTAATTGAAAAATAAATTGTAAAGGAAATGGCTCTTTATTTTACAAAATCAGAAAAAAATTTTACAGCTTGTAATATATAGTTTTTTAATAGAAATGAAAATTCATTTGTGACCTTCATAGCATTTTTGCAAGTGTAACACTGGTCTGCCTGGTGAGGCGTTAAAAATTGTTGCCTATAAACTTAAAGAACTGCAAAGGAGTTGGCTGCATCGCCCCTCTTCGGAGCCCCAGTAAATCCCCGGCTGAATCTGCATTCAGAAATGCCATTAGTCACATTTGTGGGCCTCAGTCGCAGGCGCTTGTAGCCATGACTTGTAATTTTCTCCTCTTCCTCTGCGGAACCCGTTTGGATATTATTGGGCGGGGTATGAGGATCGGGATGGGGAGTTGCGAACAGGGAGCAGGGGTTTCGGAGTTGGGGGCTTTAAGGCGGCCTGCACAAATATTTCTATTGCCGTTAATGGCGTTAATAATTCTGCTGGGGAACCGCTGGTGGGGATGTGGATGTGAATGTGGATGGTGGCTGCGGGATTAGCCCGCGTCTGTCATGTTCCCGGATGACGTTACATGGCCCCAACTGACAGCCGGCAGCAGCGAAATATGAATAAACACTCGACGCAAGTCGCCAGAACTTAACTTTGGGCGGTGGCTAATGCGAAGTTAATTGGAAAATGCCAGCCCAGAGTGGG